TTTGTATAATTTTGAAGCATAGTGATTCCAGACAAGATATTCATTAATTATGTTGACAATACTTATCAACTATTAAACACATTATATAATATTGCATTAAAATTCAGAAATTATCCAGTATGAATTAGTATCCAAGTATATAAGTATAGTTGGTATAAGATCCTTTCTGCTAGCGTTACATTTTATATTCTCAGAAGATAAAAATTAATCATCACATTATAGAAATGCCTATATAGTCACTTGAAAACAATTCAAATTACTCACAATACTGTCTTATTTTTGGACTCAAAAGTAAGTTTCTTTCATTTTTTTAGATAATGTGCATATGGAGTGGAGTGACTATCATCCTGTGGAGTGTGTTCTAATACTAAATTTTGTCCCAATTCTTAAGAAGTGCTTCTAATAGCTGGAAATTGTCCAAAACTATAAAGAACTAGGAATAGAACCAAACAACTCTGAGTTAGCGTGTTCACTGAGTCATGCTATTTCTTAACTTATGGCTTGGAATTTTGTTTTGAGTATCTTCTCATCCTCTTGGCCTCCCTGTTGCTAATAGCCAACATTGGGTTCAATCACGCTTCAACTAGGCCTGGACTAAAGAAACAGCCCCTTTACCCTTCTTGTAGCCACTTTTTTTTTTCTTCATTCATTCTTGGCCCACTTTACCACTGTTGTAGGGGATCCTTCTGAATTCCAGCCATGATCTCTAGGGATTCTCATCTTGCAAAGACTAATATCCAATTCCTTAGTACCACACTCAAAATTCTTCACAAAAATATTTGAAATTTTTCTTTATGACTTCCACACCATACCTTGCCCTGTTGATGTGTAGACTACATTTTGCTCCGTCACAATTTGGTGGTATACTAGTGGTTTTCCTTAGCCCAGACTGCAGTTCTTCTTTCTGGCCCTTCATAAATTTTTCCTTGTTTTAAAATCTAACTTATACAATCCAGCCTGTCTAAAACTATCTTTGAATTTCCCTGTCAATCAATTTTCTTCTCCATAATCCCACTTTAGGCTAATCTCAGGGCATTATTACACTTTGATACATATTAGCATTAATTAAACTCCCTATCACAAATTATAAATTCCTTCAGGGGAGGGAGAGTTTATTTTACTTTCATGTTTACACTTTCTCTTGGTCATAGGGACTGGCACAGAGCTTATTCAGTAGCAAGAGTTCAATACATCTATAGGTGAGGATCCTAACATTTGGAGGTGTAATAAGTCAGAAAATAGGAGGCATCTGAGATTTTTTAACTCTGCTTTCTGGTTTCATTTCCCTTTATTGTTTTGTTTTTTTTTCCAAAAATGAGAATGGATATAATTTGCTTTGTGATTCAGTAAAAATGATTTTCTTCATACTTTACATTTCTGTTTTATAAGCCCAGACTGTGACTCTGTGAATTTCACATCATAATAAGAGCCAATGAGAGGCTCTATAAAAATGTTACAAAGCATATCTTCTCTCACGATGGGTAAGAACACCTAACTGCTAATGCACTCATCTTCCCAATTCAGTAACTTTCAAAGTAGAAATGCCACTCAAGACTGAATACTTCAAGTAGAATAAAAATCTGGCTAATCCCTCCTAAGCGCAAATGAATGGATCAGTCAGATAGAGAAATTCACACTCAAAATTCTTTACCACTTACAAAAGAGGGAATGGAAAGTAAAAGTCATGTCCAGAGATAACAGCAATTGCAAGATGAATGCAGATTTTGTGGGATTTTGCAGTGGTTATAGATTGTTCATTCCCAAAATGTCATAATCAGTTTCCACAATGAACTTTTCCAGGAAAATTTAGACATGAGTACAATGCTCAAAACTGAAGCAATCCAAGATTATATCAGAAAACCAATGACGGACTGACCTATGATATTGGCCTATGTGAACTGAAATTCAGTGGACATAATTTTTTCATTCATTCCTATTCTGCTGCAGAGCATGTCTCCGTTTTCCAGTTGTTACCCTTGGACGAACTTCCATGCTTAATGAAATGTATAGTACATTGTGGTAGATAGATTTTCCTTAAATGAGAGCTTATGACCCTTTCTTTGAAAACATAAATAATTTGGGACATTATTGAAATTTAATTTATTGTTATACTTTTTAAAGAACACAGTTTTTCAAGTTGTAGATAGTTTTTTCCTGGGTTCTATGATAGTGTATTATTTTTAATGTATATATACCCGAATTAATTAGTAAGTCATTATTGAATAGAAGCCTTTGGAGCTTTTCTTATACAACAGTATGATTTGTAACAATGTTACCAACTTTCTATGTATACAGTTGAATGTGTATGAAATGCTATGATTTGCTCCTTCAAGTGTTCTAAGGATATCCTGTATTCTTTTTTTTTTAACTTGTAATTGTAGACGGACAGAATTCCTTTATTTTATTTATTTTTACGTGGTGCTAAGGATTGAACCTAGTGCCTCACACATGCCAAGCAAGTGCTCTGCCTCTGAGCTATAGCCTCTGTTTATGCTATAATTTGTCTTACCTTTGATAAAAATTTTGTTAAATAAAGATTATTACCAATCTTTCTCCCAAGCAAATAACTTTAACATATAAATTAAGTTCAGGTACCACACTTTTCTTATAGGACTTAGAAGTTTGATTCTTCTGATACCCATTCAGTATTGTTTCCATGAGTTTCTTAAGCATAGGCTTTAACTCTAGATCTGTAGCAGCAAACTATAGTAGGGTTAAATGAGTGAAACCCAAATAAATTTTATCCAGTGACCATAGTTCTCCTCCTCCTCCTCCTCCTCCTCCTCCCCCTCCCCCTCCCCTCCCCCTCCCCCTCCCCCTCTTCTTCTTCTTCTTCTTCTTCTTCTTCTTCTTCTATTTCTTCCTCTACATTGTATGTTCATGCTCAGAAAAAAGAATTTAACACTAGTACCAAGTGTGAAGAGGATAGATGACATACAAAATCTCCTTCACCATTTAATGTTTGATCAGACAGACAATACTTATGAGCAATGCCATCTTTGCTGGTTTAAGGTGGCATGGAGACATCAAGGAAGAAGAGGCAAGCTTTCTGGAAATGCTTCACAGAGTATGTGTGAAACTTGAACCAGGTCTTAGAAGATGAGTAAGAGTTCCCAAAATACAGAAGATGGTTAGGGTATTTCTGAAAGAGAAAGAAGGGAAGTAAAGATGCAAAGAAATGAAAGAGAAAGGAATGTCCAGGGAACTTCTGAAATTTGGTGTGGATGTAACCTGAGATTTGAAAGAAGCTGTGGGGCTTAATGTAAAGGAATGGCATGTTTGAGTTTTGGCAAAGTATTTGAATGCTCCACCTGTCCAAACCAGTACTCTGACAAGGCTGGGATTCTTAGAGTGGCTGGCTGGGCAGTACTGGGTTGAACTGAACTGAGACTAAGGTATGGCTGATCCTTAGGCTCCTAGTTGTGGAGCAAAGAATAAACTTACTATATAGCATTTAGAGCAAAGTAACCTTGCAAACCATGTGTGGATGCCAGTGAAATAAGGCAGAGCCAGAAGTCCAGGCCAAGACAAAATATCTACAAAATTTTCTAAAACACTGTATATTGTTTTCAGGGGAAACAATAGGGGTATTTCTTAAGATTCCAAGACTCAGTTCTAGGTCCTCCTTCCCCCGGTACTGGGAATTGAAACCAGGGGCTCACAAAGGCTAGGCAAGTGCTCTTTCTATCACTGAGCAGTTTCCACAGCCATTTTTAATTTTTTTTTAATTTGAGATACGGTCTTGCTAAGTTAGCCTTAAATTTGCAATCCCCTTGCTTTAGTCTTCTGAGGTTCTGGGATTATATATATGATATACTGGTGAGTAATTAGTCATTATTTGCATCTTTGATTCCCTAGACATATATATATGGCCTAACTGAGAGCTGTGCTGCAGTTAGGCTATGTGTCTCCTATCTCCTGTGTGTGTGTGTGTGTGTGTGTGTGCATATACATATACAAAAACTGTAGATAGGAAAGAAACTGGTTAAGGCAATAGGAGGATGATTCCAGACAAGTTGCATGACAAGGTTTGGATTTTAGTAAAACTTATCTGGTATTGCTGTGGTAGGTGAGGTAGTTGAGGCAGGATGATCATTCTCAACCATTAAAATGAGAAATATGGAGAAGCTGAACTAGTGTAGCAACAGAGTAGAAATGGGGATGATTGGTAAGATCAGAACAAAATACAGCTAGTGCTTTCAGTCTGTTTATATTCACTGCAGTTATTGATTTGGTTGTACTTCAGCCTACCATCTTGCTATTCTTTCATTTTTCTCAATCCATTCTTTGTTCTCCCTTCCTACTTTTTTTTGTTATTGTTTCCCAGAGTTACATTTAATTTTCTTTATTGTCATTTTGAGTATTATTCTTTGTTTTGCTTTCATTCTATTTTTATGTGTTTGCTCTAGTGAATAAAATGTGCATTTTCTAAATTGTTATAGTCTACCTTGGAATAATATTATGGCTCTTTACTTATAAAGAAGATTTTAGGTGTCTGCATATATTTACCTCTCCTATCCTTTGTTCTATTTTTAAGCATGACAAACACTGCAAAACCTTAATACCATTCTTGCTCTATATCATCAAACTGTTTTTAGAGAAATTAAGAATTATTTTTAGTGTAGGTTTGCCCAGATTAATTTCTTCAATGTTTGTTCATATGAAATTGTCCTTATTTTACTTCATTCCTTTCTGATAAAGAGGTAAGAAACTTTTAGTTTAACAACACAGACATTGAAAATGTCAATGTAATGATACTATTTAATTCAGTCAATTTTTATCAAGTACTCATTCTGTGGGAGTCACTTAAGGGCATTGAGAGATCACAGTCTTTATTTATAAAGGCTATTGTAAATTGGGCATTTTAGCATACATGATCTTAGTTTTTACTTCACCTTTAATTTCAAAGAATATTTCCAATGCATATAGAATTGTAGGTTGACTTTTTGTTTTCATTTGTTTTGCTTCATTTCAACTTTTCATGTGGTTTTGTCTTCCAGCTTGCATGATTTCTGGTGAGTAATTAATCATTATTTGCATCTTTGATTCCCTAGACATTATAGGGTTATTGTGGTTTTTTACCCTTTTTACTTATTCCTTTTTTCATTTTTTCCTTTATCTCTGGCTTCTTTTAAGATATTTTAAAATCTATTTTTATTATTTTCAAATATGTTTTCTTTTTTTTTTGCAAATGTCTAGATATACTACATATACTTTTCTTTATAGTTTTTTTCCTCATTGGGTTTATTTCAGTTTTTAAAATTGTATATTGTGAGCGTTTTCTAATTAAAATATTGTATTTTAAGCAATTTTAAAATATACTTCTGAATTTCAAAATCCTTCTCCTTTCCAAGACTTTCATAATGCTCATTTAATATTAATTCATAAGGCATTCATTTTTACCCCATTTTTATTCCATGTTTAAGTTGAGGTGATTTTTATTAATCTGCCTCTTTATTCATTTTTTTTTACTTCTTTTGCTGTTCAATTTGCTATCGAGCTTATTCAATGAATTTTATAATTTCAGATACTGCATTTTTTAGTTATAGTCTTTTCATTTGGTTCTTTTAGAGGTTCAATTTCTCTTCTTAAACAGTTCATCATTTCACTAATTATATTCATCTTTACTTATGGATGCCTAACCACAATTATAATTATTATTTTAAAGTATTTGCTAATTCCAATAAATAGGTCTGGGTCATCTGTAGGAGTGCTTCTACAAGCTAGATTTTTAAACTAATATTTTTCACATTTCTGCTTCATTGATTGTATTATAATTATTTATTCTATTCCAGATCTTATGAACAAAAGGATGATGAAGACCAAAGTATGTATTTCTGTGGTTGATTTCTTTCCTCTGTCTGACAGTCAGGGTGTGGAACAGACCAGTCAGATTCCTGTATAAGTTGAGTTTAGCTGCAACTATCACTTTAAATTAGCAGGACTTAATGATTGATGTCAACTGCCTGCTTGTCAATTCAATGCCTCTTCAATAGTGGATGCTCTCTGTTCAATGTTAGCATGTGACCTGAAGATCACACTTTGTGTGTGGGTCTACAAATTCATCTACACGTCTCTTCCCTAGACCTCATTTCTCATCTCTAATCTTTTAGACTCTTGACCAAGTACTTGGTACTAAGTCTGTGTATGTAATTACCAGGAGATATTTCTCTTGCCATGCAAGGTGAAAAATTAATTTGACCTGCGTGAAGTTATGCCTAATAAAAACATGTCTCTTTTCTGTTGTCTTTTAATGCTGCCCTGAGTGAAGATGGACAGCAGAATGATTATTTATTTATCTATTGGCTTGTACCATGTAGTGAGTGAAATCTATATGTTCGTGAATCAAACTTATCCTTCTTCTTTGTTCTTCAGCCAGACATAAGGAAGCCCCCATTTTAGCATAATTTGGCTGAGGGGGATATACCAGAACCTTGGTGGTTTATGACTTAGGGGCCTCTGTCATCCATTCATGCCATCCTGGATATATCGCTTCTAACAATAGAGTTCCATGGTCCTGTCTGATCTTATGATGGTTACTTATTGTCCAATGGATAGACCCTTCATCTCTGCCAGGCCATGTGGCATACCAAATATCATTTTTAAAAATTATTGCTTATTTCTCCACTACAGACAACATGCATAACCTTTATCTATAGCTACTATTGTAACTTATCATACTTTGACTATTGAAGTTACAAGGAAGAGATGAGGCTGCACAGATAAGGAAATGGGTGCCTGGGTAACTTCCTGGGTATCAGAGCACAAACAGTTTCTTTGCTGAGAAACTTTAAAAAAGTCTTTTTAAAAATCAGGACCTATGTGACTCGGATTCCATAGAAATTCAGGACATATGTGACTTGGAGTCCATGGCCTCTTCAAAAAAAAGGAGAAATGCCTAATCAATATTTTTATTAGATTAACAGGTGTGTGAATACCTGTGGACACTGAGTGCCTTGCCCAGGATTGGTCAGGGGGCTGACTTTCTTAAACCTATAGTTCCATAAACTCCCCTAGACAATCTGGATGTCCCTCTCTTGGAAGCTTCTTCAGGAACTCTGCTTTCTTTCTATTACTCTAATAAATCCTGTTACTGCTCTCACTTTGTGTCTGTGGATTTTATTCTTCAAATCCATAAGTCAAAGAACTCATTGACATCCACACCCTGTGTTACAGTACCATTAGGTTTTTGTTGATTCAAATAGCAAGGCATCCTGCACTATAGCCAATGTCTTTTTTCTTTTTCTTTTTTTTAAGCAGATGGATTATTACTTTTTAAAATTCTTTATTTGTTCATTTCAGTATACATGACAGCAGAATGTATTTTGACATAGTATACATACATAGAAAATAATTTCCCATTCTGTGGTTGTATATGATGTGGAGTTAACAGTGGTCGTGTGTTCATATATGAACACAGGAAAGTTATATCCAATTCATTCTTTCTTATTCTCACACACATTCCTTTTTCTTCATTTCCTTTTGGAATTATCACTTTATCTTATCCACATTTTTTATTGGTGCATTATGGTTGTACATGTGGTACAATTTGTTGTTAAATATTTGTACATGCACATACTATAACAATATAATTTGCCAATACCACTCTACACATTTTTTTTCATTGTTTTGGGCCCACTCAGAACAGTCAGTCTTGAATGACAATGAATAAATAAGTAAAAGAAGTTTTCCCAAAGGTAGAATATGCTGCCTCCAAAGGTTTCTTCTGATTATCATAATTTTCTTATTTTCTAAAGTGATATTTCAGTGTGCCCTGTATCACGGAGTCCCTCCAAAACCCACTGACAAGGAAGAACCCTGAATATTTCTAAGATTTCTTATCATTGGGATTTTGTCTTTCTTTTCTTTCTCTAATCAATAAATTCTATCTTGAAAACACAGATCTGCAAACTTGATCTGAAAAATAGCTCAGATCTGAAAAATAGAGGTTTTATTGAGACAGTTGCCCTCAGTCACCTGTTTAACTGCCCTTAATTTGTTTTGTTCATATGCATTAAGCAACACTCTTTCTGACTACCCATCTATCTATGCCTAATAACATTACGATGTATTAATTATCTTCATAGGTCTACACATTTTTCATGGTCCCTAGCTTCCACTATAAACTTTACAATAATTACATGTCCTTGCTTCAGATAGTTAATGACCACCATTGGCTAATGTTCTTTTGGGGTCTCCGATTGTTACAGGGAGCTTGTTCTGTAATATCCTCTTCTGCTATAAGTCCTGGCATACTGACAATAGCCACTTCTAATTCCCTCAATTATTCTGATCAGCCATTTACTAGTGCATTCTTTAGTGTATTAGTATATGGAGCATCTTTTGGACCATTCATAGAATACATTGACCAATAGTTCCCAACCTTAGGTGATATAACTATTCTGGTAGGCTCTTATCTCTGAACCTTTTGGTATTTCCTGCCAACATCTTGCATGACAGTCTAAATAGTTCTACTTTATCTGTGAGCTATTGATTTTCCTAAGATTCTGTTCGTTAGTATTCTCCTCCAGGGTCTTGATGAAATATTAAATCACCTCTTCTATATACAGCTTTCAGTTTTGCCCACACTCTTTCATTTTACAACCTTAGAACCCTTAGGGTTCAATTCTATCCACACTCTCCTAGCTTCTGCATGTATAGTTTTTCTAAGCTCGGTGATTTCTAAGTTACAGTGTCTCATTCCTTCCTCATCAGTCCTGCTTCTTCACATCCAGATTATGCTGTGATTTAACCCTGGTTGTAGAAGAGAGGTGTGTATATATTTATCAAGCAGAGTTTAACATGGCAAGAGATTTCTACATTATTCTCAAGCCAGACTGAGCACTAGTCTTTAACTTAGAGGAGTGGGTCACTCTTGCAGATCTAGGGGAGTCAGGTGGAGAAGTCAAGGTTTTCATGTATATTGACCCATATATTCCCATCCCAAGCTTAACAACACTCTTCCTTTCTGATCAGGAACTTGATCTTGGCATGGGAGACTTGCTATGCACCGAATTAACCCTTTATGGAGCACCTGAGTCCTAACTTGATCTGCTTTAATTGGCCCTCCATCTGTGGTAAATAGAGTGTTTTTATATGCTGCCTCTGACATTTGCCTTAAATTGGTAATTTATAATGTTGGACTTTTATTATATTTCTCTGAACGTGTAGCACATTGTACCATTAGGGTTTTCTTTTCCAGCACAATGTGATCCAAGTTAATCACCAGTGAAATTTTTAACAATGTTACCAAAATACTATGCCAATGACTATCAGTAAGTATCCCACCTGCCACCAGTGACAGGATCCTTATTCCCAATGGGTAGGTACGTCATTCAGCTTTAATATCTCATTTTAAAGGCTGGTTTTTAGGTCCACATATGAGATCAATGATCTTAAGCCATGTTCTCTGGAACAAAGGACTCTGAGATGGATAATAGGAAGTGTAGATTTGCTGAAGAGTACTGAGAGGAACATACCTGTAAGAGAATGAGAAGGCAAGTGTGGACAAAGGGAGATGCTCAGTTCTGATACAGTTATAACAGGGGTTTGGACAATCCCACAGGGAGCTCTGGTTTATGGATAAGTCTTCAGAGTTGCCCCAAAGTGGGAAAAGGGACATTATATGATTTTCCTCCTCTTGAGATTTCCATTGCTACCCAGGAAGAAGGGCATGTTGGTGAAAAAGTTCCCTACAAAGGAGGAAAATCTGGAAATGATCCCATCTGTGAGCTTCCAACATCGAATACTTCCATAATCTGGGGGAGTGGGTGCCTCATTCCTATGGGGCATGGGAGAAATATTCCATAGCTTCCTAGTTTGATATGATCTTAGCTGGTGCCTTCAAAATTAAGAATGTCGTAAGTTTTCCCTACAGTAATGCGTTAGTCAGCTTTTTATTGCTGTGAGCAAAACACCTGATAAGAACAACTCAGAGGGGGAAAAGTTTATTTGAGGTCATGGTTTCAGCGATCTCAGTCCATAGATGGCTGACTCCATTGCTCTGGGCTCAAGGTGAGGCAGGACACCAAGGCAGAAGGACCCAGAAGAGGAAAGCAGCTCAGCTTATGGTGGAGTCAGGAAGCAGAGAGAGAGGTGTGCAGAAGGGGCCACAGGGAAGAAAAATCACTCCAGCATATTCCCCCAGTGACCCACCTCATATAGTCACACTGTACCTGCTTATAGTTACCGCCCAGGCAATTAAAACTAAAATGGACTGATTAGGTTACAATTCACTCAATCCAATAACATCACCTATGAATTCCCCTTTATTAACACAGGAATTTTGGGGATACACTGCATATCGAAACCATAATATTTGCCCCTGGCTCCCAAAAGCTCATGTCCATGTCACAATACAAATTGCATATAGTTCATCTTCAACAATCCTATTGTCTTAACAGTTTTAACAATGCCCAAAAGTCCAAGTTCAAAGTCTTCTTTGAGACTCAAGGCAAACTTTAAGCTGGGAGCCCCTGTAAAACTCTCCAATATACAGCACAGAGTAACTATTCCCATTCAAAAAGGAAGGAATAGGGACAGGAAAAGACAGGATGAGGCCAAAGCAAGACTGAAACTTAACTGGCAAACAGGTCCTATAACTCTGTGTATAGCATCTAGGACATATGGCTGTGCAATTTCTGTCCAAAGGGCTTGGGCAATCCCACCCCTTTGGCGTTTTTGGTTGCAATGCACATGGGTTCTCTTTTAACATGATCTCTTTGTAGCCGGCAGGCAACTTTTCTTGGCATACAGTCCACATTACTGTTATCTCTTAATTCCTGCTTCAGCTTCACCTTTACATCTTAGCACATTGCCCTCTCAGGGGTGGCCCAACTCTGACTCTGAATCTGCTACACTTTGCTTGGCCTCCTAGGCTTTCCATTGAAATCTCAGGGTAAGTCTTCATGATCCCTAACTCCAGTATCCTACAATCAAGCCACCAGCTTGCTCAGTACCTGCCCCCCACCCCCTTATCATAGCTGCAATGGCCTGAGTGTCTGCATGGTTCAGCCTGGTGAAACAACTTCCTAGGCCCCCACATTTGAGGAGGGTGCCCATGATCTCTTCTCAAAGGAATTTTCTTTCTGTACCATGAAGCCTGCAGTGGGTACTGTCTTGCAAATTCCTGAGATGTCCTTGATGCATCCTTCCTATTGTTTCTATACAAAGTACTATCTTTAGAGGTTGTAATCTCTTCAAGAAGCACAACTTCCTTGACCCCAGCTTTACATGCACTTTTCTGGCCAAACTTCAAGTTTTTGAAATGTTAGTTCTGTTTTCTGCTCCTATTTCTCAAAGGAAACCTGGATAAAAGCTGCCAGCAACATCCATGCCACTGAGTGCTGTGCCACCTTGAGATTTCCTTCCACCAGGTTAATTAATCCATCATTTTAAAATTAAACCTCATACAATATCTCAGGACATTGGCAAAATGTAAACAACTTCTCTGAATAAAACACAAGTCACCTCCTACCCAAGTCCCAATAAATCCTAATTTCCCTCTGAAATCTCATGAGCACAGTACATATTCTTATTGGAATTCTGGTCTTCTGAGTCCCCACCAGAATCACCCCTTAAGCTCCACTTATACTATCCTAAAAGGTTTCCAGCTTTCCTCTCCAAACTTTCCAAAATTCCTCTTGCAAACCAGTTCCAAAAGCTTTTGAAGCACTTAGTCACATTAGACATAGTGACAACCCTGCTCTTGGTACCAATTTTTGTTTTAGCTTTTTTGTTACTGCTACCATAACATCTGGCAATAACAACTTAGAGTAGAAAGAGTTTATTTGGGGCTCATGGTTTTAGAGGTTTCAGTCATAGATGACCAATTCCATTGCTCTGGGCCAGAGGTGTGGCTCCATATCATGGCAGAAGGGCTCAGCAGAGGAAAGCTGCTCAGCTCATACTGGAGGCATGAAGCAGAGAGTGGGAGAGTCAGAGAGCAAGAGAGGGTGGGATAAAGAGTCATAGAAAAAAAAAATCTCTCCAGGGCACACATGGAGTGTACTTCCCCATCTGCCTACAGTTACCACCCAGTCCATTAAAACTAGGATAAGCTAATTAGGTTACAGCTTTTTCAGTTCAATCACTTTACCTCTGAACATTTCTTGCAGCAAAACAGGACCTTTGGGGGGACACCTCATATCCAAATTGTAACAAGTAAGATAAGGGAATGCCCAAGGAAAAAGATAAACACAAACATTCAAGATTTTGATTCTAACATAAAATTTGAAACTATGGTTTATTTTGAAATCCTTATGTTCAGTTAAGACTATTTTTCACATCTTGCTGTCTTTTGACTAAGGAAGATTAATTTTTCATTCTTAAAGAAAATGTTTTTCTTCTTCTTTGTGTTAATACTGTCTGTCCTGATAATTGCAAAGGTATGCATTTGAAAATGGTTATAAAAGAGCCTAGTGAAACTTCAGATGTGATAAAAAAAACAAGATAATATATATCATTATTACTTCCATTAAACAATCTTTCTATCTTATGACCTTTTTGAGAATTGATGATTTACAATGAAATTGTAGTTATAAATTGTCTTCTACCAGGAATTTAGTCACAGACTAGATGAAGCCCAATGAACATAGAAATTTGGCCTGTGAGCTAGTGACAAAATAGTACAACTCCAGTATAAATTTCTCCAATGGGATTATTTCACATATGCAGGTTGAGTAAGGAAGGAATATATAATCTATTAGAATTAGAGGGAAGTCAAGGTGAAAATTTTCTCCAAATGTCTTATTATTTTCTAAAGATTATTCCCCAGAAAATAAGCTCTGCACAGTGCTTTGTTATGAAATGCTTTTATTACTCAAAAGTACCCTGTTGGTTTTATTTTGTGGCTGAATTTTTTTCCCACAGAGAATACTTTAGGTACAACTCTTTATAATTCATTAGAATTAGTGGAATATATTTATGTGCTTCTAGTTCCATTTTGTACTTGAAAATCTTTAATTTCCCTAGGAAGTCTCCCAAACAATTATTATAATAATTAAAATTCAATGGAAGGTTGTAGACTGCTGGGTTACTAATTTTTCCTCCTTTTTCCTTCCCCAAAACCTGTGTGATCTAATACCACATGGGTTCTGATATGGTATTGAGGAAGATGATACTGCTCCTGTTTGCTGAATGGTATATTTGGTTTTAGTAAACAGTTTGTCCAAAATAGCACTGGATTTTTTTCTCTTGGTCTTCATCCACTGTGCAGATTCCTTCCACATTTTATTAGAATTGTTCAGTGTGACTATGATGTCAGAAGAATTGATGGCATATTTCTTCTGAGATTAGCCTATAAAATGATTATAGCTTCCATAGGGTGAGCACACTGTCATTCTCTGAGACCCTGTGAAAATTCATTTGTCACATCATGAGAACATGCAGGCACTCTATGGAGAAGCTCATACGACAAAGGTCTGTGATCACCCAATAACTAGTCAGGCTCTGGATCCTACCAACAATTACAAAATGTGTATGAATCTGTTTACTATTACTATTAGGAAATACCTGAGTCTATGTACTTTATAAAAGAGGTTCATCTATCTCATAGTTCTCCAAGTTCAAAGACATGGCATCAACACTGCTGCAGGCATCATGATGGTTAACATCACAATGGAAGGAACATGTGCAAAAGGAGAGATTATTGGGCAGGATTAGAAGCCAGGGCAAGATAGTGAGGAATTAATAGTAATTTCCCACAAGTCTCTCTCTCTTAAAGGTCCCACCGTCTCTTAACATCACTACATTGAGGACCTTGCTTCCAACATTTGAACCCTTGGGAAACACACTCAAATCATATCCAAGCCATAGTGGAATAGGAAGAAGTCTTCTCCCCATTGGTACCTTCAGATGAGACTACAACCCCATTCAATAGCGTGACTATAATCTCCCAAGAGTTCCTGAGTCAGAATCATACAACTAAAGTGATCCCACTTCTGATTCATAGAAAGAAATGTTTGTTTTGTTAAGTTGCTACATTTTGGGGTAATTTGTTACACAGAAGTAGATACCTAATACAATTATTCAGACTAAGTCAATCAGTGCATGTCATTTCTCTTGCCACACTGGGAAG